AGTACAGGCCCAACATCAAAACTAGTATAAATAGGAGTACATTGAGCCACGTGAGTTAAGTGGTATGATTTTATTTTTTTCAGTGACTTACATAGCATATCCCATGATCAAGATAATATATGAAAATTGCTAGAATATATTAAACGATGATGCAACACATACAATACATCATATATTCTATTGTCAATCAGTAACACTTTCATCTATGCATCTGCTGACGTCCCACTGAATCATACGTGTTTAAGTAATGTTTAACCTGTGTATACTATATCTTCAGTATTCTCAGCATTGGGAAAAACCAGTTTGCTATCATGACATGAATTAGATCACGTGAAATAGTATGTATTATTTCCATGGTTCTTACACCAACCCAAGGGTAGTAAGCCCATGTCTGTTTGGAACTTGTGGCTTTCACGATGAATGAGGCAGCCTCAGTTGGGTCACCAAAATGTGCCAAAGTGTCACGATTCGGTAACATATCAATCACATGATCAGTGGTTATACCACCAAGTAAAAGCAATGTTACAGCTACATCGATTTCCTTATATTTGAGTTCAAGTCTCAATCCTTCAAAGAACCCATTCAAGGCGTGTTTTGAGGCAGAATAGGAAACCGCACCGGGCAAACTAAACAGGCCTGCAAGAAAAACAACACAATGATTATGGACAATGAACACTTAAGGTAGAGATGCAGTTTACCTGACAGGTATTTTAATTAGTTAATTAGGAAACCAAGATGACCTCCCTTGTCCACAAAACTATATATTTTCGGAAAGCTTATTGTATGAATTTTAAAGTGTTATTAGTATTTTATTTTTATGGACACTGTAGTTTGAAATATGCACAAAAATGTGCTTTTTTGGTCAAAAGTGATTTTAAAAAAATAGCTTCTAAACCATGCTTCTGTTTCCTGTCAAAAATGGTTTATGGGTACATCTGTTTACTATGAAGAAAGCGCCGTCTTGAAAACTGTCTACCAGTTGTCAATTTTGTAGGGCAGCAGCTCAATTTTCACTACTTCAGGTTTATGCATAAATTAACACCCAATATTTATGTACAGCCTTGCTAAATCTTGCTAAGCATTCAAAAGACATAATTTTGCACCTGTTATCTATATTTTAAAATCGTTTTTTGAGTATGTTCCACTATTCACAAGACTTTTTGAATAATAAAACGCAAAAAAAAATTCACTCCCAAGTACCCACGAACCTGCATCTCTACCTTAAAACTATGTTCTTGCACAACACTAGTCCTGTGTCCGTTTCGTGACATAAATTCGGAGTGCAAAATGTATTGTTGACGGTTTTGTTTGGTAATCAGCCTTAATTATTTGTTGGCATTGTAGGTATTGCCGTTAGAACAATAGACACTGTAATCACTTACTGCAACTGATTTCGTTATCATCAGTTATCATTAGTTATCATCAGTTATCATTTAGTTATCATTTAGTTAAAGGCATTGGTAATTGTTGGTATCAAACAATTTAAGCACAATCAAAGTTGGGGGATTCCGAGGGTAAAATGAATCACAAACAACGCTGAATTTGAACGAGTTAAAAAAGTTACTACCGTCAATGATTGGTGGGTTAAAGCCAATCATTTTCAAGTGTGGCCAATTCAGACATTGATGCTAATGGAAACTTCCGTGAAAATTAAAAAAAAATGTTACAAACACAATAATCCATTAAAAGTATTTATTTGTTTATATGTCATTGACAAACTTCCAAACGTCATGAACATACTACACATACTCTGTACTAAGTTGTTATGTGAATAGTATGTATTTGTGTTTTGTGTTTAGGTTAAAAATGTACGAGGGTTAGGTAATATTTAGTTGCTGTTATCTCAAACCAAAGTATACCTGTCTTTCAAGGAAGTCAATGATATCAAAGATGCGAACCGAAAAAAATATCTATGTTTAAATTTTCTAAAAAAAAAAGGTGGGGCATCAGTCATGTCATTCGTTTTCTTCAGCACAAAGTGCAGCCACTTTACAATGTCATTTTAAAACAACGTTTTTAATATTTTCATATGTTATATAAATTCAAAATGTGGCACCAAATAAATACACGTCAGTAAAATAATTAGACATTCACGCTAACCTTGTGCAAACAACGCTGGATACTCAATGTCTGGTCTAACAATAATTTAATAATGATTGATACAAGATGGTAATTGACACAAGCCTAAGAAAAAGGCGCTACCTTTCAGAACAAAAGTGAGAATAAAATACAATCATTGGCACTTTCGTGTGGGACTTACGATGCACACCTATCAAATATGAACGATCAACTTGATAACTGCTGGAAACGACGGAAACAAGCACGCACTGGTTATTATACATAATTATTACCATGAAAAACGCAAATGAAAAGAGTCACCTGTACCAGATGAGACCACAGCGATGCTACCATTAGACGTTGACAGCATGGGTAGTGCTTTGGTTGCTAGATTCACATAGGAAACAAAGTTGATATTCATTAGTGCATGAAGTCTTTCGATATCGCCATCCCATAATTTCATGTTGTAGATGGCGTGGTTTAAAACGAGATAATCCAATCCACCGAGTATCTTCTCAGCTTCAGTTATCAATTTACCAGTCTCGTTAATAACTTGCATGTCTAGAGAAATGTAATGTGCGGATTGGGCACCCAATTCTAAACATTTCTTCACTACCTGCATTGAAAACAAATTATTATTATTTTCAGAATATGTTTATTACCTGCACAGAAAATAAATCGTCAGAATATATCACCTTATAGTGACTTAGAAATACAGGAAACACAATAATTAGGTTCGAATAATAGAGTGCGAAACCAATTTAATATGCGTTTAATAGTCGGATGGGCAAGGCACGTTTCAGCTGTTCGCATATATTTTAGCAAAACAAGGTTGTGGAAAACAAGTTGAAAAGATATATCATCAGGTGGGACATCTGGTGTTAAACAATGCATCGATTTATTTTTCTTTTCATGAAAATTATTTCTCACCCAAATGTTCTGTAAACCATTGCATTTTGTTTAAAAATATTTTATGTTAGTTGAAAGGACATATATCCTTGCATATATATGTACCATTTTGTGTTTTGTGTTCGGTTAGTCTATTACTACGCCATCAAAAGTCATACAGTTATTTTGTGTATAGAGGCACCATTTCGAAATCACTTGACAACGTATACATTGATGGTTTTTGTAGTCGTGGACTATTTCACAGGCACTTTAGGCACACTTGTGACATACAATAATACTTTTCTATATTCGATCATAATAAAAAGTAAAATTATCTTCATTTCCAATACATTTTGTTAAATTTTCTGATCAAAAAATGTAAAAACCATGTTTTTCGAAAACTGGGAAATGTTTCTCGTCCTGTTTTGTGGTCAAAGTTAAACATATTTCTAATTTCAATGTCAGATGATCATGCCAAAGTCTACGATACAGATATGTTTAACGTTTACGAATAATGAAATCCGTCTTAGTTGTGTCCCATTTTAATACATATATTGTATGGTTACTTAAAAATGATACAGGATAATCACAACAACTCTAGAATGCAAAATACTATGCAGATAGCATATAATAATGATAACACTCACCTGTTTAAGACGGATCTCTCTTCGAGCAGTGATTAATATATTGGCTCCCAGCTTTGCATATTGGTAGGCGACTTTTTCTCCAATACCGGTACTTGCACCAGTGACAACCACTCGCTTCCCACGTATGCTTTCTGCAATGACAACTTATTACACTATATCTAGGAATGAACATATGTCACGAAACGAAAGTTGTCATACGTGTCTTTAAGTAAAGGATTGTAACACCGCTGTTTTGTTTTACCCCAACGTTTCTTTAAAGTGTTGAATAATTTAGTATTTTAAACTGTAGCAATAACGTAACTACATAATTGTAGTATACACTCCTTGACTCCAAGCTTTTACTTAACTGGCAAGGTGAATAGTGTTCCTGTTTTAAAGGCTGAATAAATTATTCTTTTCAAAACTGATCTTAGGGCAGAATCTTTATCGAGATTGTTGTAGGGCAGGAAAACAATGAAATTACACAATGGATGACAATATTATGTGTCGTCATTCTAAGCATTGCTCCCGACCCCTTACATTAAGTGTATGTGGTGGCGTAGTGTAAGTATTATACTAGAATTGTAATTACATGAATATAAATCTGTTCAGGCTCAGGCGAGAGCGTAGTCTCAACTATCAACTACACAAGCAGGGCTTATATAACCTATGTCCAATGGAATATAACACTAATCAGCGTCTCTGTTGTTGCTATTATGAAATTATGTCAACTGAGAAAATATTACACAGATTACGAGACAACATCAAAAGTTCAATGTAGGATAAAAAATGTAATTGCTTTAGCGCCCCCCCACTGAAACTTAATAGATAAATATTGATCATGAGGTCAGACTACATTCACCATTAAATATAAATTGATAATCGGACAGTAGTATTGCATAGCAGTTGGTTCTAGGTCCATGCCCTGAAATTGACCTCATTTGACGCACATATTTAAACTTGGACCAAAAAAATTTCTCGTGTTGGATTTTTTTTTCATTTTCTGTTATTTTTGTCCATGATTGGATAGAAAATAAACTACAAATACTACAAGATTGTTTTGACTTCATTAAAAAATAGAATCGTTTTTGTAGAATGGAAAGTTTTTGAGGTCACCCCCACCCCCAACCTAAATTAAGTAAGTTTTTTATACGACATCGATCTTTTGACGTCGTCTCTAATGGTGTCGGTAACAAAATACTACATAAATAAACCTGGTAACACTGACAACAATATGCCATGGTTGCGAATAGAACATTTCAGAATCTAGGTCACAGTTGTATATATTGTTGGTGCTTTAAAGGTCTGTTGTGTAACTTCTCTATATCTTTGTTGTCACATTGTGTCTTAAAGTAATAGTGTTATCTCACCTGGATCGAAGGTATTTCTCGCTGTGTATGCAATGTACATTGCAATGAACACTATAAGCAGTCCTATTATGTTCCAAAACTTTCCCATGTTGATATGTGTATGTGTCGTAGAGGTATTAATGTAATAATGTCAGTGTCTGATGTCAAGGACATCACGTCACAATTGTACACAAAGGAGTCGTGATCACGCAATAAGGGCAATACACTAAGATGAACTTTCACCATTTTTGACCCCTGTGGACTTTCGAAGAGGGCGCACTTTTAACGCGAGTTTCTATTTAAGGAAGTTGTTAACCTAATCCTCTAAGCCTATAATAATACATAGCCATTGAATTGTTATTTAAAAATGTAATTAATACAATACATACAATATGAAAACAAATATTAAACAATAAATTATTTAGCTACTTCTTTCGTAAACGACGGTGTGTTGTTGTTGCGTGTAACTGTTAACTTGTGTCATGCGCACGTTCATTCGCGATTAAATTATGCTATAGGGAGTGTATGGATAGGTGGCATATTCGTTTAAAAAACAATAACAACTTGAACCGGTTGAATGATGTCTTTTTTTGATTTTCTGAGGAAAGAAGAGAACCGGAAGTTATCAAACAAACTAGAGGTGTGATGGTACTGTTACTCTGTTACAAAGTGTGGAAAATGTAATTGATAGAGCCAGCGTCGGCAGTTGCTTACTACATTGTGTACAATAAAAGCTTGAACCGGATGATGTCTTTTTTGATTTTCTGAGGAAAGACGAGAACCGGAAGTTATCCTAAACAAACTGAAGGTATGAGGGTACTATTACTCCGTTACAAAGCGTGTGGAAAATATAATTGATAGCGCCAGCGTCGGCAGTTGTGTACTATATTGATATTTCCATTCATGTCTTTATGTGCGGGATAACTGATTAAACTCAAGTTCGTGAGTTTAATGGACCAGAGAATTTCATACTACATTACGTCTTTGCCGACATCTTCAGAGACAAGATTGCAGAATTTAACAGGAAATTACAGTTCAATTGTTACATGCGCTTCAGTTCATAACAACAATATATAATACTAGTTTGCATCGTATATTTCTGATTCAAATATCGCTTGAAACAATAATGATAATTATTCAAACATTACTCATTTTGATAACATTATACATTTCAGATTTTAAGAGAAACGATCGGAGCGGACAAGATGATAGTGCTAATATTCGGAATTAATTTTATCCTGTTAATATGGGTTATTGTTGGTTCAGTGGTATCGTCTTCTATGCGAGAATAACTCTGGTTAGGTAAATATAGTTTCAAAATAGGGGTGATTTGGAAGTGATGAAAATAAGCAACCCATTTGACGGATAGAAAAGTAAAAGATGAATAAGTGAATGGGATCGCAATAAATGAGACTAAAGATTTTTGTATGTCCCAGTATTTTCCCGAAGGAATTTGATGTGCCTGATTATGTGATTTGTTTATCGCATGTTTTGATTATTGTACAATAGAGTGCCTCATCATGAAACGCATAATTTGATATATTTTTGTGTCAAAAAAGATAATGTTAATGACTATTCACCATGTTATCAGTGTAAATAGATTTTAAAATGTGTATTAATATTACGAGCACTTGTCAATAGTTTGTGTTTTACTTGCGATGCTAAACACTTTTTCAATAAATATTTCTAGTGGAAACTCTTTTCAGAATGTGTGTCTAGTAAAATCACCTTTCAAAGAGTTGTGATAGTAAATAAATAACCCATTTGCGATTTTGAGAAAAACACTTATTGTCACTTAAAGTGATTTTAAAAAGGTGACAAAATGTGTCATATTTTAAAACCTAGATTTACATTGTATGCGTGCTATCGGGAAGCATTTTGGCACAATTTTACTGAGTTTCGCATCGCTCATGAATATTAAATTTATTTATTTCAACCAATCGTATCATGTAACTCCCCACGGGTAAAAAGCAGTGATTTATTTTTTTCCGAAAAAATTATAATGTATTAACCGATTTAATTGTTGGCGGGGGCGGTGAACTGTGTCATTGTGAGGGTTTGTACTGAATATGCTAATGTAGCGGTCTCCTGGGAGGCACAGCATTGCTGCAGTATTATACTGGTGAATAATGAATTGTTCTCTTAATTTAATATACTATCCAATGTTAATTTTATTATTAAAATGGTGCTTCTGCTGGGAAGTTGAAAATGTTATTTCCTTAAAAAATATTATGTTGGTTTGTCCTCGTTTTACAGTTGCTAAGATACTTTGTATTTTATAATTAACAAGGATTCTGTCCACAGATTTATTGAAATTTTCTATTATATTATATTATATACTGTAACTAGCTAAATATTGTGTACTATACAAACACGTTTGTCAAATTACGTAAGCACATACGCTAATAGAGGACATATGGTATCAAATGTTATCATTTCATTAACATTGCTATTTATGACAATCTTTTTCATTTTTCACTCAGAGTTAGTATACCCTCTCTGGCTTATCTAATGAGTTATCATCACTGGCTCGTAACCTTGTACAGTGTGCTGCAATATCTTGACAAGTTTAACCTCATAGACTTGTTAATCCTTTGAAGTGGTATTGCCTTCCGATTGTTATTAAAAAATTATCATTTTTCTCTTCTATTTTATTTTATACTATACTGTGTGCAGTATCTCACTTGAATTTACATGAGAAGATTCACTCAATCTTACTTTCAGTTTGAAGTCATATTTAAATATTTATTAGTACTGGAAAAATAAACTTTGATATTATAAAATCCTTTTGAATCTGGCCAGATTGTGTTTTGTGTCTTTTACTTTTTTAGCTGTACGGCCCCAATCGTCCAAAAAGCATATTATAAATATAAGGTACATCATTAGTATAACTGACCAATCTCACCAGGCATTGATTAAACAGCAGATGGATTCTCCATGAACGTTTTCTTTCTGGAGATATAATAATATGTATATGATTTATATTTTTGTTGATATGTTCCAATAGAAAGTGGGTGAAGCTGTTCTCAAAATGTCTGTTTCAAGCACACACAGATCTGCAATACAAAAGCGATTTTCACGGCATTGGTATCAGTGGTGAGACACACACTGGAAATAATGCCAAAAAACAAACGTGTGACATGAAACAGTAACCAGGAATCTGACAACACATACCTGAATGATAAGAAAGAAGAGCAGCCAGATGGGCGGGTAAAGGAATAGATATCTGATAAAAAAACTCTTTCATTGTTCCAGAGATATAAAATAGAAAGATTTCATAGTGAGATTATATAGCATCGGTGATAGACAGTTGAGATGAAATTAACAATGCCTGTGGTAAATCTGTCAAGTTTGGCACAGAAAATACCTTATAAAAATAATATCCAAGCTGATATGATATTTCGTCCTGGCAGACTGGCTGATACATGTAGACAGACATGAGGTAAGTATACGAGAGCTTACGAAACTGAGAAAAGTCAGAAGAAAGTTGGCATAGATATAGTATCCCTGGTATGAATACAGGTCATAATTGTTTGTGTAAACAGATATTCTATTATGGTCGGCATATAATCTTAGGTCCTATCTGCAATGTACCTGTGTATATATTACTACAAATTTTGGCTATTTGCCTTACATCTACGTGCCCATTTCCAGGCTTATTGCTGCATATTATTTTATTGCTATTTCCCAATTTTTGGTAGTTATATGGGTGAGAATGTGAGTTATTTGGCGATACATTGGGTTGATTGGATTTAATCTAACTGGTGGTTTACCTGCTAAATTAGCATAGTTTTGTTTCAATTAGTATGTACATACTCCAAGGGTGACCTTCACTCTGCATGGATGTAACTTCACATGTTTCATTCGTGTTTTGTGTACCAATAATTATAACTATGAAATTCGGCTGCCAGTTGTATTTTTGCTTAGTTAATAAATAAGTTGTTTGCGAATGATAATGCAGAGTAGTGGCCATCATTCGGATATACTCTACCTGGGTTCGGGTTAAGAAAATAAACGATCTGATGGACAAAATCGCTCCACTCTCATAATAGTCTTAATTCATAAACAAATCAAAACATAATCGATTTCATTAGATATAGTGGTTAAAGTGAACAATGTCACATTCTATTCCATCATAATGTAAAATTCCCACCTAAATAACCATATCCATGAAACGTTCATTTAGATCATGTTTACGCACATAAAAAAGAACCCCTTATGTAAATAACGAAGCAATCACATGACGCAAGGAATCCGACAGTCAGTAATATGACAAAGTAAACATAGTTTACGATTGATGGATAACATGACTCATTACTACTTGTTATACATTACCTCAACGTTGCTTCCTACCGCACCCACTGAGTACTGTGAAATTCAAGTATTACAATAGTTTAGCCAATGATATGCATTACAGTAACTGAATAATGTTCTGCGCTATTTGACTATGATTCTGATCAAACTAGCACTACTATTAATTAATATGTTTTATCCTTTTTATCTTATTGTCACTTACGATACTATGGTCTACTACTTGTCAAAACAGGCCACCTCCACTTAAAATGATAAAAGATTCATATTCAGCAAACAAATATCTCTCAGACAATTTATCTTATTGCCATTTACGATACTAGGGTCTACTACTTGTCAAAACAGGCCACCGCCACGAAGATAAAATTCATTCACAGAAAAGGATGCGAATTATATCCAATGGTCTATCATGTGAACATGGGTAGTAGATAACTGTGTTGCAACTTCTGAATGGCCTATAAAAACAAAAGCTACATCAAGTCCCAGGTTCAATCAAAGTAAACTTAGAAAGAACTTTCGTGTGTTGAGAGTATTGGAGACGCATTTAAAAAATAATTCAAAATCTTAGATAAGGCTTCCACACAAGAAGCTATACATCTGTTATGTGTCTGTTATTTGAGATGCACAAAGTGAAAACAATGTAATATACATTACAGAAGTTTATAATAATAAGAAAATTAATTGGATTTTACATCTGTGGTTTCCATGTCTAATTTATTCACAGCACCTCGACATATGCACGCACTTACATTTTGACGCGATACATTGGGATTAATTATTAATATATTTGCGTTATGTTTTGGTTATATTGCGACTCTATATAGGGTTGTGATTAAATTGGAATTCTATATAGGATTGTTTTTTTAATTAAATAAAAATGCAAGTAGAAAAATAACATAATAAATCCTGTGGCTTAACATGGAAATGTTTGCGAAGCTTAGGGTTAGTAAATGAGTTTGTATATAATTGTAAACTTCACTAAATGTAAAATTGACTTAAATATTAATATAAATTATGAAATATTGTGAATCCCTACGTTTGAGCTCCGATTGTACAAACGGTCCCGCTTTGTTGGTATGTATCTCAAGCGGTGACGCCACTTATACCCTCTATTCACGCACGCACGCAAGCATACGCACACGCACGCACGCACGCACGCACGCACGCACGCACGCACGCAAGCAAGCACGCGCGCACAGTACCTTCCATTTATTGTGAAGCCCTTTAAAGAGGAATATTATGTCAGATGTGGTTATTGAATACAAACAATTAATCAGTGATAATAATGTTGTTGAATGCATCTCTATATAATTATTCATTAACTAAAATATAACAAAATACAAATTCAGAAACGATATACACATATAAAAAGATGTTTCGACTAGTATTTTGGCAAAGCAGTGGACGGGTAAAATACGCATTATAATGTATATCGACTATACTTGAATGTAATTTGACTCAGTCCAAGACATTGATGTTTGGAAAGAAAAAATAACATATAACATACAACGTATATTAAAAGAATGATTTCAAATAGTTGAAACCTAAAACGTGCATTACTACGAAAGTTGGACAAGAAGACGATTTTACTGAAAATTAGTAATGTGTGATAATAGGAAAAATCGTCATATGTCTTTTACAACTAATTTATACAAGATTATAATATTGTGCGACAGCGGTTTGATAATGAGTGACCACAATCTGATGAAAGTCGCTAAAGTCCAAAGTCCATAACATATCTCGTTCAATTCTCGCTAACTTCAATAACCAATTACGCTTATATTCAAGGTTGTGAATTATAATTTGTATCATTGTCGTATAAAATAATATATGTACTGCAATGTATATTTGTTTACTTTTCCTTATCATATGAAAATAGTGATAATGTTTATAGCAATATACTTCTCAGTTCTGGAAACATCCACTTTGAAGACACAAAATCAAATAGATCACGTGATATAGTATGCATAATTTCAGGGGTTCTAACAATTGCCCATGGGTAGTAAGCGGATGTCTGTTTACGGCATGAAGTTGTCATAATGACTGACGCTGCTACAGCTGGATCACCATAAATCGCCATGAAGTCGTCACTAGCAGACTGACCACTTTTTAAAATATCGATTGCATGATCGGTGGCTACGGCACCAATTAAGAGCAGCGTTACATGTACATCAATTTCCATATAGTTAAGTTCAAGTCTGAGGCCTTCGAAGAAACCATTCAGAGCATGTTTTGAGGCACAGTATGAAATAGCAGCAGGCATACAAAACAATCCTGCAAGTGGAACATAATACAATCATTTACATTGATTCACTTCAAACGTGGCTGTTGAATGTACTGTAAATAGAAATGATTAAAGCGGGAGAGTCGTCACCTACGCATGCGGCAGGTGTCCATAGCGTGTCTACCCATTAGTCTTAGCGTCATTAGCGTGTGTTGTTATCGTCGCTTGTGTCTCAATTCCCGCATGGGCAGGTGACGTTCCTCACGCTTCAAATTACAATCAAAGCTTCAAACAGATTACAGGATTTGAAATACAGTATCTCATATGTAGGTGTATTCTTGTTATATAAGGTATATTTTAGTTATATAGCTGAACATCAATCAGCAAGAGTTAAGATTTTTTCGGAGTAAGATCTTTTATCTTCAGCAACATTATTATACTGAAAAGGTTATGATGCTTTTATGTTAAGCAAATTTATTCAGGTCAAATAGTGGGGCAATGTATGCCACCTATTTGGTAATTCAACAGGTCATTGTCGTTTTTAAAACGTGAATGATCTTAGCCAAATGTGTTAGAATAAGTCGATCATGATAACCTAATTCTTTTAGGCATTTGCAGAAGAAAAATAAATTAATGCAATTTGCTGACATAAAAATATATACATATAATACGATTAAGGCAACATTACAAGCTAAAGAAAACAAGTTATTAGTTTGTTTTTGAATAAAATATTGTGATCACACAAAATAGCATGGCACATTGTGACAACTGTAACACATTAATGGGCATATTGAACATTGAATGAAACAAATTATATATTGCATTATGTCTCATCTGAACCACTCGGTCAATCCTTAGTGGGTAAACGGACTAATGTATATACATACGCAGAGCTTATTTCCATTAATACACACAATAGAATACTCATTGGTATTTAGTCCATCAGAACACCGCGTAATTGCATAGTGATTGTTACCAATATGTTCCAGAATCATCCGCGTTATTTGAACCATTGATATTCATTTAAATAGTAGTTCCCATATGCGTTATGTGTTATGTAACTGTTTGAGTAGATACACAAATTAATGGCGAATTGAACCAAATGTACCTGGACGTACATAGCATGACACATATAATGCATGCATTTATCATTGGTCACTTATTGCATGCCTTCATCAATCACCAGTTAAGTTCAGTCAGAAGAGGCAGTTGCACTAGGTGAATTCTATGAACAAATTCCGGGTAGTTCTTGAACTATCTTGAATACACTCCTGGTGATTCTAGAACTGCCTACAAGCGCGGGTGCGATTTGAAAAACCGCCCATGAATGTGGCATTATTGGCATAATGTCCAATAACCCCTACTTTCGAGTGAATGTGTTTAATTATATCACGTAAAAGATTCAGTAATTGACTGCATGGCTTGTGCAAATTGCTGAACGTATGTTCATTTACATAAAGACTTAAGATGGTGGATAAAATTAATAATACCAAGCAATATTACAATAGCTCAGTAGTTAGATGAATGATATCCGTGTTTTGTTGATGTTGACTTGCCAACTGTGCACGTTCTATTGATCGCTAATGCTCTTCATCGTACAAGAGAATTTGTATGAAAGAAATAAACAAAATCCGAGGCTCTAGCCAATAATTTGAATCTTGGTCAATTGGACATAGGCTTTATTCAACCAGTGACTATGTATGAGCTACGTATTGAACAATATTTTGAATAAAAGGACATGAGACAAATGTTAAAACTGAGCTTGGGCATGATTTTATCATTTAAAATATATATTATACATCAGTAAATCCATGTGTGACATTTTCATACCAAGTTGACTGGAAATGTGAAGGCATTTAAGATGAACGTATAAATTACAACTATCTATTTAAATATTGTTCTGCAGAAATATTTGCAAACTAATGATGGTTCGCGTGGAATAACTTTATTTTTAAATCTAGATTAGGTTATTTTTTTGTATAAATTATTCTTTTTATCTTCCATTATTCCCATGAATTTAGATGCTATCTTGAAAGTTAACCAATCACATAAATCTCGTGACAGAGTGTGTATGAATTCTAATGGCCTGGAATGAAACCATGGATAATAGGATATTCTTAATCTGGCGGATGCAGACTTAATTAATTCCATGGCTGTGTCAACTGGAGAAATAAACATGCCCATTGCGTAAGTATCTACTTCAAGCTGTTCACCAACATCGAATGCATGTTCGGTGGCAATGACTCCCGGGATAAAAATAGTAACAGCAACATTTTTCTTTGTGTACTCTAGTTCAAGTCGAAATCCTTCAAAGAATCCACCAATTGCATGTTTGGTAGCACAGTACGTCAGAGCCAATGGTAGACTAGTAAGACCTACAATATAGACAAAATATAGTACCAAGTACATTTTCAGTTTATCAACTCTAGAAACAAACCAACCATAGAGAAAAAATTAGACATTTATAACTCATTGATTGTGAATTATGTTATTTTAATAACACATATAATAAACATTCAATATATTTTACAGTATGCAAAATAATGAATAAAAGCTATTTATATAATAAGTGCTTAAATGATATTTGGAAATTAACATTGGGAGGAACTGGTTGATAAGTATTTTTATTGGCCAGACTAGTATTGGGTATTTTCAAAAGTGATTAAACAATATAACGGTTAAACTAATGCATTAAACTAATTCATGTTAAGAAGAAAACTGCTAATACGAGTCAAATATGTATTACAACATACAATACACATCTGTGTCGAGTTAGAAAAAAACAAACAGCTGTTGAAATACATAACGTTTATTACGTTTATTGCAGGTATAGTACCTTGCACAAATAATATATTCATTTTAACTGGATCTAGGTTATTACACATATTGAGAATTGTAACAGCGTTTTGCTGATTATTTTTCAATTACCACATGTTAAGATATTCTACTATTCCAGGGCGTTTAAATCTATGCTTGAATTCACCAAAAATTCAATGAAATTTGGAAAGAATGTATATATAAGCTGAACAATGCGTGTTTGAGAATATGGATAATACAATTCTCTGATCCCAGCAGAGCCTGTCTTTATTATCTGTATGGCGGTATCCTCTACCGACGACACCGTTGGTGCTCCAGCTGGATGACCTGCACTAAGGAACTGTTTCGTTCCTTCCATGGAATGTTTTGTGTCAATTAAACCAAGTACACAAACAGATATGGAAATGTTTTTTCTTTGTAAATTCAGTTCCTGTCTTAATCCGGAGAAAAACCCATGAATTGCAAATTTGGAAGCGGAGTATCGGATCATAGATGGTATTCCCATGGTTCCTGTGTACACAAATTATAATGCGTTTCAGCTATACACCAAAAAATACTGCCACCATATGAGTAAATATGTGTGTAAAGAACATACAAATGCAATGTTCAGTATAAAACCTATCTGACATATACCTTGATTCGTTTACAATCATAGTACAATTTATTGAAAGCAGACTGGAATGCCATAATTTATAGTCATGTAATTAGTTTTAATCAGATTTTAGAAGTTTCTGTTTTAAATTACCAATTGTAGCACCATTTTGAGAAGACTTGGATGGAGATTAATAACAAATCAGATGTTCAGCAATAGATATTTAATATTATAATCCTTATTGAAAAAACAGGCTAAATTTCACCAAAACCCAACCTGAAAATAAGTTTGCCAAATTTAAATAAAGTCCGTTAACGTTTATCTGAGCAATGGGTAAAAACAACACGAAAAGCTCTTTAACAATGACATACAATAATTGATGTTAATATCAAGTTTTAACACACAACAGCAAGGTAAAAAAAGAACTCCCATGTGCTATGAAATATTGTAGGTACATGAAACAGAAATAGGCAATATTTAAAATTAGTATTTTAAGTAATGATTATATATATTTGAGACGGTCTGTGACTGGTGTAGTGTATGTTTATGTGCTACATTTTGTAGTTTATCATGCCACGTGGTGATTTGATTTCCCAAGTGTCCAAAACAGTTTATATCAATGTAATAGTAACGCTGCACACATGCTGAAAAAATGATGCATATCCAAGCAACGCCAAGAAGATGGAAAATGAATTTTGGTTGACTAAATTATCATTTTCTCACTATTTGCTCGCTATTTACACCAACCAAAATGTTGAAGACTATTAACTTCACTCACCTCCCCTCACTCACCACTCATGATCTCCATTATCACTTTGTTAGTTATAGGCATATTAAAAGCACATTACTGTGATGATATTTCTCACTTTTCAAGATATGACCTAACGATCGTTCATATGATTTATTGGAAAGTTTTCACCATGATAATTAATCTACAATACTAGACTGTGCTTAATCACATCGTGTAATGCTTACTATACTAACTACGGTCACACTGTGAGTGTCAGCTATATGTATACATAATTCGCAATAAAATATAAATATATGTATAAATTATCAAATATGATTGTAAAATTGATAATTTTAAATATTTCACGAGAATTAGATGACCATATATATCTCCAAATGACTACTGTCAATCATTTTGATTTTATAGAAGACAAACTTATGAAATTACATAATAGTGATAACATTAATTGAGGTCCTAAAACAACTTTCAACTTTAAAATGCTAAAATTTCTAGTAGTAACAATTAAACAGCATACGATATAAGATCAGAAGAAATTGCCGCTGTTGCCATTGAATAGCTTATGTAGGTAATTTTCTGTTCACTTCGAGATCTCGCGTGATGCGTGAAAGGCGCAGACCGAACGTCAGCCACGGAGATTTAACGATTTGTTTTTGAACTTGAATTTCTTTTTATAGTTCAATCTCGAATACCGATCTTTCAAAATGGCGTTACTTAATCAAAGTTGACCATCATCAAAGGAGTATAGCAAATTTTGCCCTGTTTTCGCGCATAATGTGAGATCTCGCAATGAACGGAAAATGGCCTATCACTTACACAGAAGGTTTAAAAAAAGTTACTGAAAAAAAATTGATGAATATGATGTAACAAAAGCGATGAGAGCGATGATGTATTTATAGTGTATGACGAAGCAGATCAGAGCAAAATTAAATAGAATTATTGCATTGACAACAAGACGTTACTAATTAAATCACTAAACCTAATAGCTGACAAAATACTATGCACATCCGCTATATAGACCGAATCTGTATATGCTATAACTGATGCAATATTGAAGTGAATATTCATTGTTATTTTTGCATTCATTATTTTCCTAAAACATTAAGTGTCCAGTTCAATAGATGAAAGTTTCCCGATCTATGTTGGTATGGTTACATATCTCCACATGGAACGACGCATATGCTGAAATTAGACACATGACTTGATAGTTATTAGTAACTGAAATTTGTATATGAATTTCATTTGATTATTAGTTGTCTGAGCCACTATTCCCTACGGTATTTGAACGACAATCTCATGTAGTGCATTTATTCAGAAATTATACTATTCAGTGAAAAGGAAATACATTGATGGATAGAATTTCAAAATGAGGTATGCGTTTTAGGCTGGAATTTAGTTCTTAGGTTAAATACCTGTTAATAAAAGTGATGGTGGTGATTTGGAGGGTGTCGTGTGACCTCATTAGTTATGTACATATTAAATCGCTAGAAAACTATTTAAGATTTGCATTTACTGCAAACTGAACAATATTCACATGGATAAAACAATTTGGATAAAGTATTAAATGGTCACCTGACCTCATCAATTATGCACAAAAGCAATCCTCCGAAATCTAACGCAGATGCACATATACTACTAATTGGATTAGGATAAATAATTAGTTGGTCACGTGACCTCATTGGGAGATGGAAAATTAGATCATTTGCGTATCTAATTTCAGAAGAACTATTGCAGCTCTGCGTTTACTACTACTGGACATTGTCCATATGGATGAAGCGATTTGAATGTACCATTAGCCCGACACATAGTTTCGTTAATTATGCGCATATATAATTCCCAGTGATGCATTGCGTGTACATATATAATGCTGACTAAATATATATGTTCTTGAATGTAATACTGTAAATCCAATAATCATTCACTGGGTTTCATTCTTGCTGATAATTATATTCCGCTGAATTAAATTCAATTGAACATGCGAAATAACAAGTGAATTCGTTGTTTCCCTGGACAATTGTTGACCTTGAAACCCAGCGAATGTTCAAAATATCCAAATAGTAAAACTAAATTAATGTGAAAATAAATACAGTATTATGGAGTTATTCCTAGCAACAAGCACTATGATCTTTGTCATTCTTGTAAAGCTTACATGCAATTACTGCAAAACAGCTGTATTTTTAATAATGTTATTGACAGAACACTGGATTAGGATTTATTAAGATATTTTTGCGGCACACAAAATAGTATTCCTTTGATGAAAAATGGAAAACACCAACGCGTATGTGCACTAACTAATATTGTATATGTCAAAACAAGCAGTGCACATATGTAGCGAAAAATGTCATTTTTTTTTTCAGTTCAAAATAAATCACAATTCACGTTAATTATGAACTTGCCATGTCAAACAACAATATATCGACAAATATACAAGATATTTTTACTTGGCATCTCCAATGCTCCCATACTTAAAATTTGCTCGTTTCATTCACAAATATAAAGTAGGTAGATATAAATGGTTAGTTTCATGGAAATTGAAAACAATCGACTTACCTGCACCCGATGATACTACAACAATGCTACCATTAGACTTAGACAGCATGGGTAGTGCTTTGGTTGCTAGATTCACATAGGAAACAAAGTTGATATTCATTAGTGCCTGAAGTCTCTCGATATCGCCATCCCATAATTCCCAGTAGTAGAGGGCGTGGTTTAAAACGAGATAATCCAGTCCACCAAGTGTCTTCTCAGCTTCAGTTATCAATTTACCGGTCTCGTTAATGACTTGCATGTCCAAAGAAATGTAATGTGCGGATTGAGCACCCAAGTCTAAACATTTCTTTACAACCTGCATTTAAAATAAACCAAACCCGTCAGACAAGGCAGCTCTTCTGTCATTATTTTACGGGGAGCGGATAGAGAAGTCACTGCTCTGGAAGGAGAATTGTGGTGTAATTGTAGTGCATTTATTAACCTACATTAGGTAAAGTTAGGTTAGGTTAGGTTAGCGGAGGTTGGGTTAGGTTAGCGGAGGTTGGGTTAGATTAGTGGAGATGGGATTAGGATACTGGTTAGCAAACACACCAAATTACAAAATGATGAGTGTTAAATATCTTTGATGTGACTGTGTGTGGATGTATTGACACTATGTACCGGGGCATAGAAAGGTACATATGCAGGTGAACATGAACAGGTGTGTAGGTTTTTGTCAAAATTAAAAAAAAATCTACCCACCCCCAATTAAAAACGAAACTAATTAATCTTATTTCTGGGTATTATGCATTTAGTCAGATTGATATTTTCACGTAAAAACCACACCAAAATTCTTCATAAGCATTGCATTTTCTTGAAATCAGTTTGTGTCTGATAGTCAAATGTCATAAAATTATGTATCTATAGAGGGCGCTATTAAAAATTTACTCGGAACATTTTTATGCTGTATCTTAAAATCAGCTGATAACATGTTGAAACAAATGTATTCTTAACAATGGAGATGGTGTATAATAATGATAACACTCACCTGTTTGAGTAGGGTCTCTCTCCGAGCAGTGATTAATATATTGGCTCCCAGTTTTGCATATTGGTAGGCAACTTGTTCACCAATACCGGTACTTGCACCAGTCACAATCACTCGCTTCCCACGTATGCTTTCTGCAATAACAAATTTACTTCCAAGGCTTAACATATAAATGTCATGAAGCAGACGTTGTCAACAATTTTTTTTATTTGTTTGTCGTCTTTCCGTATATTGTAATGTACATTGCAGTTTGACCCCTAGACTTTGACATGGCCTTGACACAACCATCAAGCGTGGTGCTGGAGCATATCGAGAAAACCAATTTGTTGCTGTAGGAATAACAGGTTGTGTAAAACAAGGACAATAAGTCCAAAACTATATTTGTAGTCTTGCAGATTTGAATAAAGTAGTTGATGGAAACCAATGTCTTAGCGACCCATACCCTCCACGTGTTTAAATGGATAATCCCTTATAATCATTGCACATACAGTAAACGCACATATTCTATTTTAAATTAAACTACCTATAGCCTGGCAGGTCGGAAGAGGTGGGCACTCGGTTCAGCAGCCCCTAAAATTGTCAATCCCATGAAAGGGACGTCGTGGCCCAACCACGCACATAACAACTGACTAAAGTCATGATCATGCGCCGGCCATTGAGACATAATGTATGCACAGTCACTGAATAAAGTCGTGCCACTAGATCGCCATCAAACTGTAGCGTCCACATAATAGTGTTATCTCACCTGGATCAAATGTGTCTTTCGATGTGTATGCAATGTACATTGCAATGAACACGATTATCAGTCCTACTATCTTCCAAAACTTTGCCATGTTAATGTGTGTCCGCAGGGAAAAGGTCTGACTGGACGCAATGATCCCGGGACCCGCCGTAGGCGGCAGTATTTTCATGCGAGGTCAATTTTGGATAACCAGGTCATTCCTAAACGCGTAATTAGGACTGAGACGAGAATCAATTTTGGGTGCCAGAAATCAACCAAAGACGCTTATTTTGGTATAATTTGGGCTGTCAAGACAAAGTTCAGGTTAATAAAATAAGATTGACGACGTTTTCCCACACAGGGGCCTGACGATCTATTCGTCTCAATGCATGGACGTCTATGGGACCGAGCGACTATGACCCGGTACAGGACCTTGTCCTTGCTCAAAATAATAGAAATGATAGAATTAAAACAGTTTAGTAATGTAAAGCAAGCATATGTTATTAAATTTAATCATCACGCTCCGAAACCACGAAAATCACTAATACTTGTTTCCGGCCCATCAGCTTGCACTATATATAAGACAAGGGAGGAAACAAAATGTGCACACATTTTTCTAGCAGCCGAAAATCACACCTCAAAATACAAAATACCTTGTCCAAACCAGTTACGAGTGCTCATGAGACACTGAACTATCGCAAAATGTTGTCCGATGACATATAAATCATTTATTTTTCCAGATTTTACGCATTTATGACGAAATTTGACAATTTCTATTCTCTGTGATACCAGTCTTCAGGTTGTGTCAATCTGCGCATGAGTGCACGCCCTCAAACGCTAGGACTGCATTTCTTTTCTTTGCTGCCAGAGTTATCAACTATTCATAATCATTCGAGATAAATCTGAAGCATCCTGTTTGATATTTCAACTAAATTGAAATATCAGGTAAATTGAAATATCAGGTAAGACAATATAGAATTGTGTATACAGGACAATATAGAATTGTGTATATAAATGATTATGCATAGTTGAGAATTTCCAACTCTGGCATTTTACTCCTTATAGCATGTGTGTGGGCTGTCTTATGCAAACCAACAATGCTGTCTTTGCACATGGTAAATTTACTTCGATTATATGTCAGATGGCACATTGCCATTGCCATGCGATAAATTCATTATTTTTACGCACGGTAGTTCTTACTTTATTCTTACTCGAATGTTTTTTGTAAACTTGTTGTTTATTGTTATTTAAAATAAAAAATAAAAACTTTATTATTTCCTTGTTCATTACAGACGATTATTTTATTCACACTATTTTTACCTGGTTGTCTTCCAACTAGTCTGCTAGTGATGTCTAATAGCAACTGGCCAAATTACAATCAAGTGGTGGGTGGGTTACAGTCAAGTACAAATAAGCCATTCACTGCCAAAGAACAAATATAATCATTCTTTCCGATCAAGTACTTTAACCTCCCCCTCTTGATCCAAATGACATAACCAAAAGACTTAAAACATCACCTACTTCGTATAACACACAACACCATATTAACATAATTGTTCATACATGTATACATTGTCACAGCAAAATCAATTCCATAAATTTACCAATGGCTCAAGCAAATCATATGCCCATATTAACTATAGCCTCTTCTGTAAGCCATCTAATACTTGTGGCTTGTGTTTCAATTACATAACGTTAGTCCAAAAATGTCAGCTTCTACTATTTGAACACTCTGGAAAAACACAATCCCATTATCAAGGTCACGTTTATATTGCGCTGGTCCGGCTAACTCTGGTTTTCTCAGTGTTTGAACAATACACTCCACTATATCTAATCACACTCGACTATAAATGGGCCATGGTCACTTTTATTACAAAGGGTATAGACTGATCACGCCAATTGACCTTTCATCATAGCCTGACCCATGCAATCAATTAAGTCACGACGTACACCAACGTCGTACCATCCCAGCCCCTTTGCGGCACCAAAGTACGACAAGAAAGCCTGGGGTGTGGCGGCGAAAAACAGCCCCTATAATGTCTGCGTAATGTCTGCGTAAAACCTCTACAAACTATGTTTATTCATGAAGCTAAAAAAAGCCAGAACTCCCGTACTACGGTCAGGTGTGCATTACTATTAAAAGTTAAAGTTATAAATTCCGTATTTCATT